ATCACCTGCACCGAGTGCCGAGCGCTGCCGTTGTGGGCGACGGATCTGCAGCAGACCGACCTCGTCGTCGTTGCCGTTGTCCTCGTCAGCTGGTGCCGTGCTGTTGCCGGTCGCAGATGGCGAGATGAAGTTGTGGAGAGCCAGTCTCCGCAGAGCGTGCTGCAGCTGCACCGCGTTTGGGTTATTGTTAAACCCACCCATGCGCCGGATACGGCTGAACAGCAGCTCCACGTGATCCTGGCTCATCTTGTAGGGCAGGACGTACGCGAAGCCCTCCTGCTCCAGGAGAGCCTCGCTGACGTCCAGGACGGACTGCGCGGCGAGGCAGAGGCCCAACACAGGAGTGGAGCGGCGCGTCTTCAGCACCGGCTCTCCGGATGCCGTCTGCAGCCGGAACAGTGTGGAGCTGAACTCCGCCAGGAACTGACGCCGGAGCCTGAAAAGGGTTGAATAAGTCAGGAACCCGAAAAAAACGGGAGCTGGTTTAAACGACTGTAATTCCAGGCAGGAGTCAGAGTCGGTGATTTTTTCGATTCCGACTCCGGACAAATTAACTAACGACCACGACCCCGACGCCGCAGCCTTGATTTAAAGTACTAGCAGCTGATTTCGAACACCTTTGATGCAAAACAAATGTGAAAGACTGACAAATAAGCAAGACAAGCAATTGGCACGATATGAATATTTCAGGGCATCGTGGCAAACAGGTTACTTCAAAGCTATATTCAGGCAAAAATGAGTCAATGCAAATGGTCTGATTATTGCTGGTTAATGTTGAAGCACAATGATAGCAACAAAAAAATGTATCCATCGCTTTGAATCCATCGCTACTCACGGTAGGTTATTGGCGGTTACAGGAGCCTTGAAGCCCTTGCCATAGATGCTACTGCCGTTCAGGTAATCGAACGCCTGGTCGATCATCAGGATGAATCGGGCCGTAGCTTCAGCTCCAACGAACTGGTGATGGCCAGATTCTGCCATGTACAGCAGGGCATTGCCCACCGAGCTGCTGAACAGCTGAGCCGCGAGTTTTACCTTCATTTTGTTTTTCTTGTACTCGATGTGGAGGCGAGATAGCTTATTTGCAGCTCGGATGCCCTCCCTCTGTTGAAGAGCGTACAGCGCCTGTGAAAAAACAAACCAAAATTATTTTGATGAAGAACGTCGGCAGCCGACCTGGCAGTCAGATTACTTCAATGCTACTGCCTACTGCTATATTAATGCAAAGCTGAGTGAAAGGTCTGGTCATTGCTGGTTAATGCTTAAGCACAATAAAAGCAAAAAAATGTAAATGACACTGTTGACAGCATCCTGATAGGTGGTTACTGGTTGTGTTATTGCTGATTATTGTTTAAGTACAACAACTACAAAATATACAAAAAAATATTCACTACAACATTATGCACAGTATACAAAAAAGCTGGGTAGTGGTTAAAATCAAATAAACCCATTACAGCAACCGCTGATTAGCGTTAATGCTCACCTGTACATACTTCCAGGATATCTCTTCGCCATCCAGAAGCAGCATTTTCTGTTCACCGAACAGGTTCCGCAACAACTTCAACATGTGGACGACATCAAGGAGTATGTGTACCTTTTCTCCTGTAGCAGGGTGCAGGAAGAAGTTGTTCCTGATGGGAAGCTGGAGTTGTCCCGGCTGCATATTCTGAACGCCCAGGTGAGCGAACATCGTCATGTTGGCCTGGAGACCATCTGCCACAAGCGTCCTAGCCTTCAGACCTGCTGAGTTCAGGGCACGTAGGACGGTCTTGGTCAGCTCAGCCTGCGTCTCTCCTGTCAGGTGATCAGTTAAGAAGTACGCGACTGGGTGGCGCCACACCCCCTTCAACCCAACGGCCATGAACACCATGGCATTTGTGGCCAGTCTAGAGTCTTCCACATCACCTGCTCCCAGGTCGACATGGCCAACAAACTTGTCCTTGGGCTGGGAGTACACTTTTGCCTTTCGGATAGCCATCTCATCTACCATGAGGCAGCAGTTTGGGTCGATTTTCTTCGAGGCTACTTGAGAGGCCAGGGTCTGTAAGACCTCGTCGAGGACACCGACTTCGCATCCGACGCTCCTTGTCCACTCTTGCAGCGAGGTTACACCAGGAAGGGAGAAGTTCTTAGCGAGGAACTTGTACGCTCTGGGAGAGTAGTAATGTAGCGTGAGGCAGAGCTTTTTTATCTCCTCGGAATATCTTCGCCCACCACGCTTTTTGCGACCACCGTTCACTACTTCGTTGGCAAATAGCTCTGACACAATTGGATTTTCAAAGCGCGCACGGATGCTGTCCAACAGGTTAGCATCCATCACCTGGCTCTCCTTGAGTGCATCCAACGTGCTTTTCAGGCACTTCAGCCGCCTATCGCGTCTCTTCAGTTTTTGACGCAGCTTCTTTTTCTCATAGTTTAGCTGGCGAACCTTGGCCACCATCTTCTTCATTGGACTGTGGATGTGGCGCTCTGCCACACTAGAGGAGTAGCTGTGGTCCAGCAGAGTCGGCTGGAGCTCTTGTACAGTGGGCTGCTGAGGCTCTTTGGAGGCAGTGGACTGTTCGACCTCCTCCGAGACAGTGGGCTGCGGGAGCTCCTCTACAACAGTGAACTGCACAGGCTCCTCTGAAACTGTGAGCAGCTGGACCTCCTCTGGGACCTCTTCTGAGGCAGCCTGCTGCTGTTGCGACTCTGATGGCCCGGACAGGCCGGACATATCTGTATTCCTAAGCAGTACCCGTCTCACTCGCTTGGCCTTGGGTGAAGACAAGCTGGCACCAGCTCGCTTCAGGGGACTTCTGCGTTCAGCTTGACCGCTTTTCCCTGGGAACACAAACCAAGATGGGATGGTTCCCTCACGAAGAACTCTGCGCTTATGGCTGGGACGAAAGTCATCTTCAGAGAAGTGATCACTGCAGAGCATGGCAGTCAGTGATGGCTTCCATGGCCTTCCGTGATCTCCTCGTCGCCGCACTGCAGCCATCCACTTTCTTAGCAGCTTTGGATCTTCATGAGGAAACCTGAAAGAAAAGAAAACTGTTTTAAGCCTGATATCTGAAGTCTGTAGACATTACCTATCAAACAAAACTGACAACATGTCAGTAAAAATATATAATGGACATTATAGACACCAGGACATACAGCAACAATCAATACTTAGAACGTATTTTCTTTTATATTATTTATTCTCTTGATACTATAATTTGTCTCTCTGTATCAGATTAATATACTGGTGATGTTAATACGAAACACGTTTGTGTTAACAATACAGAGTAGGTAGATTGTAATGTTGTTTGTTATACTTTATATGCTATATTACAATTGCTCTTTTTAGTCAATCATTCCATTCAAGCTTAAGAAGCTTAATAAGAAACCAGAACAGATGGCAGCTGTAGGATAGGACAGATGGGTTTACTGTTGTAATACTGACACTGCCCAAGCTTTGATTTCCGTGATCAGGCTACAGCAGTTGAGCTTAGCCCATCTATGATGTTAGCCCATCTATGATGTAATGTCCTCAATATAAGTCCTTTTCAGCCTCCTTATAGACAAAGCAGATAATGCAAACAAATAAAAGTTAGTAGGTAGGTAATCAATTTAGTTTTCACATTTTTATCCATAATAAATCATCAAAATATCACTTCTTGGACAGCAAGAAGCTAAAAAAACAGTCTGAAAAACATGGCAGGGTTTGACATGATCTAACTGGGGCGGCTCTGAAAAAATTGGGCATCATTCAGGGATTTCAGGCCAGTACCTACTCGAGATAGGGCAGAACACATGGAAAGCAGGGCAAGTGTGACATAGATCGGGTGACAAAGGTACAATTTTGGGTAGGCTAACAGATAACTGAGGGTAAACTGTCCTTTTGACAGGATCTGGGCTGCCCAGAGATAACTATCTCGTCAAGCCCACTGCCCAGGGCCACGGTTTTATGAGAGGCTACGCAGTAAGCACGCGTAGTTACATTTCCATGAATGATAAAGAAATTAGATTTGCTTTTACTTCATATGACTATTCTTACCAAAACACACATTTCAATTCCCTGTAAAAAGCTCAAATCTTTCTGATGACGGATCACTGTGCTTGTAGGATCTTGTGATTTTTACGTGGTATTACTTTGCTGGTTAGGTATCACTTATCATCAACCACATCACTGCTTTTGCCTTTTCCTAACACAATATTGAATTTTGAAATAATGTGGATTCTCAACTGATGGCTATGAGTCTTTCAGGTTAGGTTTTTATGTGATTTGGGTTAATTGGATTTAGTTATCTCAAACTGTTTCCAGTGTAGAAAATTCCTCCTGATGGCAGCAATCAACAAGGTAAAAATAGCATTATTGTTCAGAAATACATGAAATTATACTTAACGCATCTTAATCTATCATTCTCTTTCTCAACTCAACCGAATTAATAATTAGAAATATGTGTTTCAATTTATGCCGAAACGCAGCACGCCTGACGACAATAACGGCGCAGACCTATCTTTAAAAAGAAGATCCTTAAAAAGCTAATTCAGGCACATAAACTTACTTGTGGAACGACAAAACGGTGCCATGCCTGGGTTGACCTCCTTGCCTCTTCGTGCACCCGATCGCAGAACAACTTTTCGTCATTTCCGAGTTTTAGCAAGACCGCTCACCAACGGGAATACGACCAACAACGGTGAACGTTTGCCGCAGGCCGACGAATGCCCCCCTGTCAGAATGACCTTGAGTTTTACAGCGTTGCCGGGCGGCACGTTATGAAAAGTCTAAAAGTGTGTCTAGACTTCTAGAGGTCAATGGGCCTGATACCGCCTTGGAACGTCTTGCGCCTCGGGACAAACACGAACTGACTGACAAACACGAACAACACATGACTTTCTCCTATTTATCTGTTTTTTTTAATTCATTTATCCTTGTTTGCTGCTTTATTTAAAGCTTTGTTTGTGGTTGGTATTTATGCATTTTTTTGCATGGCATTTTGCATTTATTTAGACAGCTTAGGCTAATCATTATTTCACTATCATTCTCTCTGCATTTATAATGAGCATTACAATGAGTACCTTCAAAGGTTGCCAGATTTGTATGAAAATCTTGTATTCATCTATAGTTAATTGCTTACAATGCTGCATTGCGTCTTACACAGTATTGCATGCAATGCAGTCTCATTTTGATTTTTGAATCCAGGAATATCAATATCTAGGTATATTTGCATTTTGCAATTCCTAGCCTTTGTCATTTTTTACAAGACCTCCAAAACAGAGTGGGTATGGAATTAGTGACTTTCAGTTTCCAAATCATTTAGAAAGAATACTTTCAATAAATATAGGGAGTTCTGGTTATGTATCTATTTGATCCAATTTACTAGGCTTAGGTATATTGTATTTCCAGATAATTGTGTTTCAAAAGTGCTGGATTTTAAGTTATAGCAATACCAATAGCGATGCTATTATTTCATTTTATATTTATATACATTTTATTTTCATGGCAATTCTCTTTAAATATCTGAACATAGATCTCTACAAGTCTCTAGCTTATTAAAAGCATTATTATTTCTTCTCTTTTCCTTGGTATTTAGGAGTAATGTCAGGCAGATGGAAGTTGAAAGCCTTCTGTGAAGCAACTTATCCATGGCCACCACACTATATTCCATTACAATCATTCTGGCTGTTCTTGGAATATAGGTATCATCAACAAGGTGTCGGGATGACCTACTTTTCAGAACGGGAATTGTCATTTTGAGGAATTCTTATGTGATTGGCATTGAATGGACCAGCAGTCAGCACTCAGCACTAGCAGTGCCTGCATTATACAGGCACACAGAATCTCTGCCATTGGCCAAGTCATTTGTTGTGATATGTATTATTGGTGGGAATTTGTGTCCCTTGATTTTAGGATTTCAGAACCCTTCTTGCAATGTTGCATTGCATGTGTCTGGTACCTTGAGATTACTTTGCTCTAGCCCATTGCTCACATATCTGGTTTTGATAAAACTAGGATTGACCTGAGTTTGTTTTTGTTTTTCTACTGCTCATCCATATTAATCTGAAATTGATCAGCTTTGTGATAGTTGCAGCCTGGACTTTGAGCAGTGGTAGCCAACTCATTCATCTTGTTGCCTTTGACTTGGAATGCATCCTGGTTACTTAGACACTAAGAACGCATCATGTCATTTTGCGGGCTTCGGTCCGCCTCTCCCACGGATCGTGTGTGTTCGCTAGCTTCTGTGAGCTCCGCCGCCGCCGCCACAGGTCATGGGGTCGTCCGAGAACCAGCCCTCTCCACCGCACAAGAGGCCGCGTCTCAACTCACTCGTCGCCCAGGTCAGGAGTGCTTGATGGACCGGCTGAGGGAACGGTGACGGTCGCGATATGAAGGCGGCCGCACACTAGGCCTAGGGCACTCGGTCGCCGATTCGGCCGGTAGCGGGAGCTGTAGCGGCGATGGTTTCCCGGTTGCCGGCCGTCGGTTGCTTATCCAGGCGATCGAACGGTGAATATTGCGCATTCATTTGGTGCAATATTTACCGTTTGACTGCTAGATTAGCAAAAGTCGGCCAGTAGACGCGAGAATATCGATGGTACAGTTTCCACTACCGACCGAATCAGCCTGTTGCCGAACGGCCTAGTGTGCGGCCACCTTAATGACCAAAACTCGCGCGAGGAAGTCGCTTCTGTAACGGCCGAATGAAGCGGCCGGATGGATAGCGTGTGCGACGGCCTTAGCTGTCCGGCCACGGGAATATTGGTCGCTACTAGCTGGAGGACTTCCACGGCCTGCACAGAGCGCTACCTGTGTCCGTGGTCGATAACGAGGCTGGAGAATGATGCTAAGGAACCCGGTGGTGGCCTGATCTGTTATGCCTGCTGCTTGTAGCACTTCCTTGCTTTGGCTAAGCTTGATAGGTATATGCTTTTCTGCACTTTTATTTGTAGTAGTTGTGGTATATACCGCAAATGGTATGCTATTGCATGCCTAGTGATGTTGTGTTTTCAACAGAATTGCTCCATCGCTCTTTTGCTCACATTGCATTTATCAAAGTGCTCATTCAGTTTTTGATCAGTTGTGCTGTTCCTACTATAGGTACAGTTGCGGCGTACCAAACGGCTTCGCCATCTCTGGCCAGCCCCGTCACGATTCGAGCTCGAGCGATGCATGCCGTGCGCTCATGTATTAGGAATATTTCGCTGTTTTACCACTGAATAGATCGTTGTTCCAAAACATCGGCTTCTTGTCAGTGGCGCCGTGTAACATTTGCTGTTTCTTTCTCTGGTAACTACGGGTCCTGATCCCTCCAGCGACTGGTGCCTGGCGTTCGCTCCCTGCGCCGGTGGCTCCCTCTCACGTTTAGAGTTTGCTACGGACCGGCCCTCTGTCGTAGCTCTGTTTGAAGGCGGCGACCGAAGCGCACGAACCACCATAGATGGCCTTACTGTATTGTATTGAAAAGGCTCATCGGTAGAAACAGAAGGGTAGATTGTTACTGACGGCACTCACTGAAAAGTGCACTGTAATTTTCGGAAGCTGAGATCTTTTAGAAACTCCGGTTGGGTGATGATGTACTTTGTTTGGTTCACGCGTTTTGAAACGCTGTATTTTTTTTTTTTTTTACCGAATCACTTTGCATTTTCTTCAAAAGGCTTCATTATGCATTAGATTAATCCATGTTGGTTTCCTCAGTGTAAATTCATTTTATATGAACGTCTTTGATTTGTTGCGTTTGACGTAGGTAGCCTTGAGTTGTTACGGAAGAAGGATCACGCATGAACTGTACAATTTTGGCTTTACGTTCGGCCTCAAGATATTATGGTTTTCAATTTTATTCCGCCATGCATTGAGCTCAATCGAGCTTCACGTTCTGACTTATTTTCCCTCCAGTCAGATTGGATATTCGTTCTCTAGTCTGGCCACAGCAGCTGGTCGTCACGGCATCTTCGTCGGGAAGTCACCGTCATGGCCTGTTTGTTTGAATGATCCAGCAACCTCGTCGGATACGGAGCTCGCTAGATTTTTTCCTTATTGAGCAGCAGCGTCTTCAGGCGACTGCGCTGGTCTGTGTCTGTATGACGATACTGATTCTGAGGGCTATTTAAAGTGATGGCAAGACTGATAAGGGTGCTGTATTTCACTGAAATTATACTAACGTCAGTAACATAAAAAATCTGCCATGCTGATGCTTGGGCTGGCATCTGAACTTTGCCACTTACTGGAACTGATCCCCTCAAGACTCCAAGACTCCCATACTGTGCTTATTACTTAGAAGTCACTGCCGTTCTGACACCGAGTGCGCTTTAATGACACTCGTACCGTACCGAATCTGACACCGGGACTGTGCCGGTCCTTGCCATGCAGTGTGATCAACGGGCCATACGGACGTGAATGGATCCCGCACTGCAGTTGGCTCGGTTCCGAGACCACTCCATGCCACCGCCGGATATTGGTATGACGAGTTCCGCCGCTCCGTCCACACGTTGGGTCGCGCTGCTGACCGAGGATGGATCACGGCTCCGTCAGAGGAAAACTGACGCCACCTCGAACCTGTCCCACAACCCGTCACTGTGCAATGGTAGTTGAACAGGAACGGTAGGTTCATAACTCTCTCGACGCTTCGGAAGACCGGACGCTCCTGAATGGCCCTCGGAGCAGTTTGTCGTCATTTTTCCACCGTCCGGCGGTGTGTTGCGTAACATTCTGACGTCATGCTTGGCCCGGGGCGGCGCTGGCGGCGGCGGCGGACGGCTGCGCGGCGGCGGCAGCGCGCTGCTCAGGTCCCAGTTGCCACCCGGTGGTTGTCTGCCGCGGATCGCCCGACGCCAGGGGTCAGCTCACTTCACTTCACTCCGCTCCACTCAGGTATGGCCCTGTCGGTGCGCCTGCGGTTCTGGCTGACTGACGCGAGTGAACTGGACACGCGGAGTCTGCGTGTGTGATGTGTAGACTGAGTGACGTGAGCCGCTGTGAGGCGGTGTGGGTATAATCGTTTCCGCCGGCCGGCTCAGGGCTTGGCATGTGGATCTACATTTATTCCGTCGCCGGTGCTGAAGCTAGCCACGTTGGTACGGCTAGCTAGAAAGCGTCGCATAGATCCAGACCCGCCTCTCTATGCGCCCAAGTGGCTTCATTTCGGCGGCGTCACCATCGACCGCCGGCGTCAGCCGACCGGTAGCGGCGGAGGGGGCCACTTCAGACGGCCGCCCGTCGTGGTATCGACCCCCGACGGGCGCGCGGTGGCACCGGTGTCGGCCCCGATGCTGTGCTGGTACCGGTGCGCGGAGCCTTCCCTACGGCTTTGTTGGGTCAATAGACGTTTTTGTTTTGTATGCTAGGAGTGCGGTGGATAGTGGTATAATTGTTTGCGGACCAGCTAGGACTACATTTGGCTGTCTCGGGCACTGCGGAATGTCTTCAAATAATCTCTCTCCGCTTGTCTGATTTGTGACGTCATCAGATTGGGGGTCGGCGGTATGAGCTGGGGTCGGCCCAGATCCCGGCGGGGGCCGCTGGGGGCCGCTGACCCGTGTGGTCGCCCGCCGCGCCGGCCGGCTCGGCTGCCGCCGCGGCCCGGCGCGGGGCGGCCTTGGCAGCGGGGCGTGCTCCAGCGGCCGCCATGCGACTGCGTGGTGAGGCGCCACTCCCCGGCCGCAGCGGGTCGTCCTCCGGCGGCCTGGAACGTTCCAGAACTGTCGGCAGCGGCAGACAGTGGTGGTGACCTCGGCGACAGGGCTGCGCCCAGCCGTCGGCATGTATAATGCATTGGTCTGGTGCTAGGGCAGATGACATCGGTGGTGCAGGTTGACAGTCCAGTGATCGACATATTTTGGCCGAGCTGAACATCATTTGCCTCTAGCTTGGCCTTGTTCAGAGCTCGAGTGGTCGAGTGGTTAGTTGGCTTACCCACACGGTTTGTTTAAAGAACATATCTTCTTCTCCGGTGTCGTGTTTGTGCCAGTCAGCGGTACTAGCCCCTCCCTCCCCATCTCTCCCTCTCGCTCTCTCCCTCGCTCTATTTCGCTCTTTCTCTCGCTCTCGCTTTCTCCATTACTGTGATTCGCTCTCATTCACTCTTCCACCCTTCTCTCGTTATTCCCATCCCTCTCAACGGACTATCGACGCTTATATAATGGATGACTGTCAGGCTCCCGTCCGCTGTCGGCAAACTCGAACCGGTTCACATTCCTCAGTCCACAGCTGTGTCTGGGTCGGGTCTGCTGTATTAACTGCTCTTGTTGGGACGGCACGCGTTTTGCACCTGAGCAGACTCCGTCGTGGCCCTCGCCGACTCCTGATAAGCAGGGCTGTGGTTGCTGATCGGCGTCAGGGAATCATGGCGGTCTGGAATGCCGCTGGAGACTCCTTTGTTGAGAGCGATCCCGTCCGTGATTTGTGCGCGGGGGAGGGCCGCTTTATGACTCGGCACCGACCGCCTGACCTTGGTCGTTCATTGGCTGCCTCAGACCTCAGTCGATCGGACGTGCCGACTGAGCGCCTGATGGCATATTGGCGGCCCTACGCCAACGCGCCAATACGTCCGGTGACGAGTCTAGACGACTATGCTCATGACTACCTGGTTCGATACGTCTGGATCGGAACTAAATTGCAGCAATTCGGAACGCTATGCGAGTTTCATGGACCTGTTGTGATGTCCTGATGTGCCCCCGCGATCCGCCATTGCCTCCCGATGGGACGGTCCAACCACCGCTGTTATGGAGTGGACTGGCCTTGTTTGGCTGACCTAGCGATCAAAGGTGACGCCATGCCACCTCCTAGCCGACGCCGCTGTGGCGGGGAGGTAGACTGATGAGTTCACTGCTGGGTCGGCGCCAGCCAGCCCACGTGGTGGCGTGGGTAGAACAGGGGAGAGTGAAAGAGAGGGGAGGGCTCACCGCTGAAAACCGCCGAGGCCTGGGAATGACCGCGACGGGGAGTGGCCACCGTCTCGGCCTGCTCCTGACAGCAGCCGCTGCTGCAGACAGGCGGGAGCTGTGAGGAATCCCCCAGCTTGTCCACTGTCAATGGAGCTGCACCGACCGCGTTTCCGGCGGGGCTGCCTCTCTCTGAAGTCATCTGTTGGGCCACAGACTCCTCTATTTACTTCTGGACGGGTGTATCCAATCGTAACGTTCTGTCAGCGTTCGGTTCGGACTCGGTGGAAAGCGTTCTGTTCTCCACACGCTGATCTATTGTCCATACTGGAGAGTGCTGCCAAATCGGCATATAGCTGGATTGATTCTTACCTCAGCCACCGCTATCAGCGGGTCATTCTGGATGGCAAGCACTCGGACTGGATCCCAGTGCAATCTGGAGTTCCGGAAGGCAGCATTCTCGGTCCGATTCTCTTCACATGCTATGTAGCTGACCTTCCGTCTCAACTTCAGACCAGCTCACTGTCATAGTCATATGCTGATGATGTCAAAATTTTCCACAGAATTCAATGTCCAGCGGACGTCAACTCTCTTCAGGCTGATCTAAGCCGTCTTAATGACTGGTCAAAAACATGGCATCTTAGGCTCAATCCGGCTAAATGCAAGACCATCACCTTTACTTTACGTACATCTCCCATCGCATCATCATACTTTTTAGATGGTCACGAACTCGAGCGGTGTACGGAGATCAGAGATCTGGGTGTGATCCTGGACTCCAGGCTAACATTTGGCGCGCATGTTGACGCCTGTGTGAGCAAGGCCAACCGCATGCTAGGTCTACTTATGCGCAGCATGCAGGTCTCACACCGTACCCGGCTGCCGTACTTCGATCACCGGGCAGTCATGGCGGCGTACAATGCCCATGTCAGATCGGTTGTGGAATACGCGAGTGTCGTCTGGAGTGGCGCAGCACCTACTCACCTTGCGAGATTGGAGAGACTGCAACACCGTTACCTGATGTGGTTAGGCGCCAAGACGCATAGCCGGTGCTCGATGGACTATGAGTCTCTCCTCCAACATTTTCACTGTATGTCCATCAAAGCTAGACTTGTTCAGACCGACCTGAAGTTCATACGCTCTGTGTTTGCCGGCCGACTGGACTGTGGGCTACTTGTGACTATGTTTTCGCTGCGTGTTCCTGGCCGGCGCTCTAGGCAGACGGGCTTGTTCAACGTACCTTTTGGACGGGTTGATACGGTGAAGAACGGCCTCGGCGTACGAGTCCCGAAACTAGTGAATGAGTTCCTGAACAAATATCCAGACGAGGATTTCTTTCAGCCTAGTCCCCACTGCACCGCGCGCATCCGTGCCTACGCACGAAGCCTTGGTACTTGTATGACGTAGTCACGTAGGCTGCTATTGTTTGCATTACTTTTATCTTTTGCATAAATTTACAGATCATGTGTCATTTTATTGTTCCTTTTTTATTGTATCTCAGTGTTTTGGCCTTTTGCCACTTTTATACGAGCTATTGCTGTCTTAAAGTGTCCCGCGGCTTTTTGTCTGTGGTGGGTATAGGCATATGCATGTGCGTAGGCAGGTGTGATGAAATAGTGTGTGTCTTGTGTGTGTGCGTGTGTGCGTGTGCGTGTTTATATTTTACTTTGACCTCAGCCGTCATTGGGTTTTGCCTGTGGCTGACAATGCCTAATAAACAATAAACAATAAACAATAAACAATCTCCTTTGTTGATCGTCGTGCTGCTGGGAGTTGTAGTTGTAGTGCGATGACTGTAGAAGTAAGCTGTGGAAGTATGTCAACAAGCTATTGTTTGAATTTGGCCTAGTTCACACTGCGTTTGAATGGCGAGTCTCCACTGGATTGGCGCGCAGATCTCGGAGCAGCGTGGTATTTGAACTTGGCGGTGACATGTAATTTACTATTTTTGGGAGCGTAGCCCATCACAAAACAGTAGGGCACTTTCAATGTTGCTTTCAATGTAGAGAAAATGTGAACAATGGACAGCGTGCCGCGTAACTGCACAACCTGCTGTTCGGCCCTCCCCTTTTCAAGGGATATATAACTGCACTCAGTGTAACTACTGTGTTGTCTGCTGGATAAATCTCACAATCTTGGCTGTTAAGGCATATGAAGCGGGTTTTATCGTGCCTTTTGTACTGGTCTGACTGTACTGTATGTTCTTGGATGGCTGTTGACTGTCAGTGTTTACTGAGAGACTGCAGTCCGCATCGGTCCGGCTACAGACTGCTTGCTCTGTCTACAGGCTAGTGTGTACAGACTGTTCTGGTCTGTCTACATACAGACTGCCTGCCCGCCATCTCGGCAGGTGATGGGCCAGTGTGTTCAGGGCGGGACACAAACTGTGCCCGGCCGGACCGGCACGGCAGGCCGAGGGTCTGTCGTCAACCTCACACCGACACCCACTGTGGGAACATCTGTGGCAGCTGTGGAGCCAACTGTGAGAGCAGCTGTGACGGCCGCGGCGCCGACTACTCAGCGCGTGCCAGCCCCAGCTGTGAAGCGACCCGTCGCGCCGCCTCGCAGACACCAGGCTGAGGAGTCTGGCTCAGAATCCGACCAAAGGGTTAACGTGAGCAGAGCGCGTCTTGATAACGCCATGGGCCGGAACTGCCACTGATTGCCAGTAGCCACTGCCACTGCCACTGAACTGCCACACAGCGACACGAAAACCGCTGCTGATTCACGCTGATAAGGCTCAGCACGCCTTCTGTGTTGCTTGACGGGGCTTCCGGAGCACGGGTTCTCCCGGGAACACATTGATGTCCGTCGATGTGCGGCACGCACGCAAAACTCGCCTCCAGATTGGACACCAAGGCTTGTTTGGTGGACGATAACTAGCTGGTGCGAACGCTCTCGATTCAGGAAAGTGTGTATGACGTGTTACATAAGATGTGCCTTGTTTGCATGATTCACCTCCATCATCGGTTTTAATAATTCACAGAACATACGATGGCAGCTGATTCATATCGCAACATGACACGTGTCAGTCATCAAAGTGCTCGACTAATTATGTCCATTTTACGCTGCAAGGGGGTTAGAGCGGATGTCGGCAGCGGATCCTGTCTGGCTGCTGAGCGGTGCTGAACGGTCGTTTGATCAAAAGACTCCATTGGCCATTAGCAGTGAATTACCCCTAATGAGTCTGTCACTGACCGCCAAAGCAGTGCACGCACCAGTTTAACGTACACTGCAGAATGGTCCGATTCAATCCCCGCCTTGCATGGCTGATCCTGCCTCGATCGCGTGTAGTAGCACATCATTTCTCCTTTCTGCCGGAAATGTATTTTGCGTGGAAGTTGATTAGTATCGTCACAAGCCATCAGATGTCCTGATTGAAGGAAATAAGCCCGAGTTGAGCGGAGATATTGAGAGGCAGCACTGATGAGGAGTTGCCATCGCAGTGGCGTCGCCAAGCCGGAGCGCTCCTATAAGCCACGCCTCAATGGCTACGCTCCGAGCAGCAATAAGCTCTTCATTAGTTCATATCTGTCTATGATTATCAAACTAATCACGTGCCAGTGCCGGCCAAACGTAATGCAGGTGTGAGTGGCAGAACAGCGACGAGTTACCGTGACTGTGAAAACTGAGGTGGGGAGGGGGGCGATAGTTGCAGCAGTTTGGTTGAAGGATGAATGCTAACGTTCCCCGCTGCTGCAATGGCTCATGGCAATAAAGGGATGCAGCCTGTTCAGAGGACTTCGTAGCCACGAGTTGCTTAGCTTCATTAGCTTGATCAGGGTGTCCGGGGATCCAAATTTGAACATTAGGGGCCAGACCCCACTAATGTCGAGCTTGTGATACGTGTAGATACACGGCACTTGCCGTCCTATGATTGACGCTTGAATCGCTAGAATTCGTCGGCTGATCTAAAACGGTTTCTGAATGGGCCCGGTTTGCAGTCGGTAACCTTTTCGCCGTTTTTGAAGAGTTCCATGAACTGAACACTTTACAGTGAAGTGTTCAGTTCATGGCTGGTTGTGCCAGTCATGCTGATCTGGCTCTGATGGTCTCTCGAGCATGACCATCACCGTGGTGGTGAGGTAGGCAATTCAGTCTGACTGGGATCTATCGACCCTCTCCTTTCCGCTCTCCCGCGACGGCTGTGGGCCTGATTTGCGCCGTCCGTTGACACAGTTGCTGCAGTCCCATCAGGTGTGTCCACACTTGTGTGTGGCCCGCCCCGCAACCTCTGCCAACTTGCCACTCCTAAGGCTCAAGTCTGAATTCGTCTGCATGTGGCTCAGAGTTTGATTCGGCAGAGGCTCTGAAAAAGAAACGTAGCGTTTTCTGATGTCCAATGGAAGCCTCACAAATCGCACCAGGCCTCGCACCTGCTCTGCGCGCTGTGTAAGCCGGAGGGTCCGCTCTGCTCGGATTTCAGCCGCTCTTCCATCGCCCCCGCTGTGGACAGCGTTTGGCACTGAGCGCCCTGTGGCTTCCCCTCCTCACTCCCTCTTGGGACCGGTGGACAGGCCAGAGCGGCCGGGCGGCGGGCACTCCGTACTGAGCTGCAGGGTGTATTTACAGAGACCAGTCGCAGCGGCCGCTCTCCAAACATACCGCCCCGCCCCGCCCCGCCCCGTCGGCCGGCCAGCCTATCTCGCCACGACCAGGGATGAGCTCAGTTGGTTAGCTTTGTGGCGACATGGGGCGGATGAGTGAGCTATGCGGCGACATGGGGCGGTAATGAGGTGGCGTGTGGTCACTCAGGACTTTCCCGGCGGGAAGCCGGCTCGAGTGGTGGGATATTGAACTTATCCAGCGGAGTTGGGGAGGTGTTAGCGGACTAGTTGTTGGAGTTACGCTGGAAGTGCGTAAGCGGCCCGCTGGAGAGCTACGAGGCGTTACCAGCCGATATACTGATGCTGGCTGCTGATTCGGCTTGGGCACTGGCTATTCCAGCGTAATGGCATTAGAGCTGCATGTTGAAAGTGAACCGCCACTTCGCTTCTCCACCGCTGTAGTGACAACACACCGCTTTTTGCGTTACTTGATGTATGTACTATAATTTAATAGCGCACATTCGGTCAGATTGCTGCCCTGTGTGATGTAAATGTTCTTTTTTCTGTTTGTTTTCCTTGAGCTGACGGTTGTCTTTTTCTCCTGTGCAGGCCACCAACATGCCTTGCCTTCAGCCCCAGCAGCCGGCACCCTACTTCAAGACACAGGCCGTGGTAAACGGCGAGTTCAAGGAGGTCAGCTTGGACGACTACAAGGGCAAGTACGTGGTGCTGTTCTTCTACCCGCTCGACTTCACCTTCGTCTGCCCCACTGAGATCATCGCCTTCAGCGAGGCGGCCAAGAAGTTCCGTGACATCAACTGCGAGGTCAGTAGCTTCTGCGAGAATCAGGGGCTTTGCAGTCAGATGTGCGTGCGGTCCGTATTTTAGGCGGCTGATGGAAGGAAGGATGGTGTAGCAAGGGTGAACAGCAATATAGCGCCGTACTGCACAATGTTATATTGCTGCCCCTGCTGCCCGTTTCTGCCCCCGCGCTACGGCTCGGGCCCCGGCCGCCGCTGCCGTCCCTGCCCCTGTGCTGCAGCTGCGGACGTATAGCACACCCCGCCCAGGGACCGGGCGTGCCTGTCGCATGTCATCACTGCAGCCCCGCAGGACCGGTAACATTCCAACCCCCGCTACTATCTATCACGCTAACGTGTGGTGCCGGCCGCTTTTTAGCGTGCTCTCGTCGGAAAACTCCCAACTACATACACGTGACATGAATGGCGAATTTATTTCGGGGAGGGAATCTTCCCTATGTGGCTATGTTCGACTTACAGCCGCTGCTATGTATTCCTTGTGAGTGTTGTTAGGTAGCTAAGTAAGACTTGCAGGGCTGGATGTTGCTCATGAAGCAACGGTTGTTGGTAGAACGGGGTGCTGTGGCAAGTCGATCAACGTGTGAACTGGTGTAGTGGAATGCTTGTGTTTATTTGAGCTGTTTATAACGGTGAATCTGTCGTTGGTGTGTTGTTCTTTTCTGGTTGCTGAAGACTCATGCGCTCTTAACTGGAACGCGTAGCTGCTCGCCTCCAACCCTTTGCTTTGCATTTCCTCCTTTCTTATGTCTCCGTCTTTATTGTCCCTTATTCATCTCAGTCCGTCTGCTGCCTATCACGGCGCGTCTATCTGGCTCGATCCCCGCCCCGGCCGCTGCCGCGGACCACTATCGAAGACCAATCGGACCACCGATCGTCCCATCGACCTCTGACCCCCCCCCCCCCTACCGAGAGGGGACCGGGTATCGAACTGCCGCTGCTGTCGCCGACCGGGCCAGCGGGTATTGGGTAATGTTTTGTCCGTTTGTCGTCCGTGAATGGCCAGCTGGCTTGTCATATGCGCGGGCCGTTTGGTTGTTTGATGCTGCCCAGTCCCGTAATCATATTATCCAGTCCATTACTTTGACGAACCGGACGCCGGTCCAGGGTGGATTATCGCCCCTGAGGTATTGATCGGCAGAAAGTGTCGTGTCATGTCGAAGGATATTCACGAGGGTGTTGGACCATACGTGAAAAAAAAAACATCAGGTTTACATAAAGCTTAGTAGGTATGAAGAACAATCGGCATTACCTGTCATCGGATGACAGGTAATGCCGATGCCGAAGGATGACAGTCATCCTTCATGATTTTATAAATTGTACACTGTACAGTATCTACGCGCATATAGTTTTTCTACATATAAGTAAACTTGATTAATCGTTAAATGACTCGCATTCGTGACTCCCACTGCTGCTGTATCGTCATCCCTGACCATCCGCCCCCTGTGCTCTCCCTCTCTCGCTGTCTGTGTTTAGACTAGACCCGGTGCGTGACAAACACATCCCACTCATGTTTTTGTTCCCTGTTTTTGTGTTGAATCTAGCGTGCCGTACCGTGCGATGGTCTGGCTTCCACGGAGCACGTGAGGTCCCATTGTAGCGAGAACACTCCATTGTTGAAGCAGGAAGGCACCGGACGGCAGGACTATAGCGAGAGACAAAAAGTTGCCATGGCTCCCAGTTGTGACTTTTGTGAGACGAGGAACCGGCTTTGTTTCCATGTGAACCAGGACTGGTTGGCTACTTTTTTCCAAGTACTCGCGATTTCGTGACCGTTCCGTGTCCAGGTGTATGGTTGGCGATGTGGTGGTTGTGCGTGGGTGTTTACTGAATAGCACGATCCCATGTCATGCGTTGGCGAGATGTTGTACCATGCATAGCCAATAATTTTATTTATTTTTACATGTTTTGTCCCGTTACCTTCCCTTAGCCATCGCCTTTGCGGTCTCTGTGTCTTTTCTCTGTGCACACGTCATAAGTTCACTTTCGAGCAAAGTTCTGTTCAAACGATGGCGTTTGTCTGTCGAAGAAGGACCGTGCCGCATATTCTGGGATAAGTTTATGCGTCTGTTGTCTGTCTGTCGGTGACTTACGCGTGTCTGCTCTCGTCTCTCAGCAGTTTACATGTGCCTGCTGTCGTCCGTCAGCCCTGTGTCTGACAATCTCCCCTCCCCCACAGGTTCTCGCCTGCTCGACGGACTCGCACTTCAGTCACCTGGCGTGGATCAACACTCCGCGCAAGGAGGGCGGTCTGGGTGAGATGGACATCCCGCTGCTGGCCGATAAGAACATGGCCATCTCCCGCGCCTATGGTGTCCTCAAGGAGGACGAGGGTGTGCCTTTCAGAGGTGAGAAGTTGTTCACAGCGAACCGTCTCAATGATTCTTCTTTAGTTCTCTAAGCCGGGTAGACGCGTGTATTGACCTGATCGGACGCGGTTTTGCCCTCTTTTTGTTCGACAAACGGACTAGTCTGTTTGGCCGCCGGGTTAGCCGACCTGTTACATAACGTACCATACTTTCATGGATAGGCTCGTGGACTGACCAGATGAGTCAATGCGGTTTTGACTGAAACTGACAAGGCCGGACGTGACGCATCCTAGTGGATACCCCCGCAGCTAAAGTGGCTTCTAAAGCAGGATGGTGCCTATTGTAGTGTAATTCAGCTCGTAACACCGTGCTAATCTACTCGAGGCTCAGAGACCGACCTGAAGCTATGTGCCCTTTGCTCGGTCGGTCGGTATCGCTGTGGTATTTGCCCGTATTGCGGTGCTCACTGTTTGACGTCGTTATCTGTGTATTGTGCGATCGGCTCGGTTGGTGAGAGATAGCTGTACTGAGGTCGTCAGTCGGTACTGCTCCCTCTGCTCTTCCGCTGATACTTCAGACTCCCCCCCCCCTCTTCGCCGCGAATACTGAACCCTGGTCTCCTACCCCTCTACCGTTGATACTGAGCCCTAGCCTCTTAGCCTCCCGCCCCTCTGCTGCTGCTACTGAGCTCTGGTCTCTCCCTCTGCCACTGACACTGGATTAGCCGTATCCGGTGTTGTATTAGGCCGTCAGAGCCCATGGAGGATCTCGTCTCCATCCCTCTATAACTACCGGCACCAAGCCCCCTCCCCCCCCCCCACCGCACACACGCACCCACGCGCTTCTAGCTTCCTACCTTATTCCCATACCCGTCTCGGAAGGCGCTGGCCAACAATTTCCCATTGAGTGACGTTGACTTGAAGCTTGCCTGAGGACTTGTACCCAAAAATATCTCGGGAATTTTCCTTCTGTTGGATATGACTTAATAGGGTACTTATCTTTAGACCTGTTGCAGAATCGTTCTATGAACTGGATTTTTTCCGATAGTAATCCATACTGGAGAGTGGAGGCGTTTCCTGCAAACGTAATGGCATAACATCATAACAACCCTAACCACGGCATGCTTAGGATAACTTCCCCTTCTTTGTTTTCGTGTCGGTCCGCTGCTTTGTGTGGCCTATCTCTGAGCAATATATTTAAGTCTTTTGCGATCTGTCATCCGTATCGTATCCTTATGGATAACCCCATTTTCGGATGGTGTCCATCAAAAGCAGTAATTCTGTTTTTTTATATATCTAAGCTAACTATTTTGGCGTAATGATGTGATAAGATCGACAAAGAGTCGTTTTCATTTAGTGCATGTAACCTAATCTCCGTTTGCTATCACGCAAACTTATTAAAAACGACACTGCCAATTCATCTTCGCCTGTATTTTCCTCGATTTGATAACCGCGCGGTTCGCGATATGAACTCGGCTGTTGTTACTCAGCGTCAGGGGAAGCAGCGTTTAACCTTTCATCGGTACAAATGCGTTCTGACTCCCCATGTCGGGGATTATTGAGTGACTGAATGTTGCGTGCAGTCCAACCCGCTCGATTGGGGTGGGGTCGGTCGGTACGATCTAGGTTTAACTGGGCTGGGAAGGGTGGCGCGTCCCTGCCTCGCTGCCGACTCTAGCCCCTGGCGCCACGCTACACCCTTTGGTCTTGTGTTTGTGTCTCTGTTTATATTTCTGTCAGCGTGTCTGTGTCATCTCTTTGGTGCTGGATGCGGTGATTGTGCCAGTGGCGTCAGCCTGGTCCGTGTCCCCTGTTTGGAGTGTTCCTGATAGGTATGATTCAGGTCCAAACTTGTCTTACCGATTTCGGACTGTCTGAATATTTTGGTATTTTGTGAATTGAAGTCTCCGATCGATCTTCAAATGCCTGAATATCGTGACACTTTTCTAATGGAGGGGATCTCAATGACCAAAGCACGCCGGGCTCTCTCTAAAACCTAAACATCTGCCCGACTGCACTGGTCAGTAGTCATCATCTTGTGGCCATTTACAGTCATCGTCTGGAGATTTCTGTCTGCTGTCAGACGGTCGCCTCCCTGCAGTTTCGTTTCACACCTCCTACTGTTCCGTTCTGTTCCATGTCGCCCGGCGTTCCTTTCACGGTCATCTTGGCGGCCGTTCCGCACCAGCTGTCTCCGCAGCCCCGACGATGTATTCGAGCATTCTGTGGTGGTCAGTGGTAATCAATATGTTCCTGCTGAGCGTCATGATTCAGTGCGTCGCAGGCTAGTGGGTGGTGGTGGTTCTATCCTGGTGACCTCTCCCCGTGGCCTCTCGGACTGCCCTGATACAATATTTCCCCTGACCTCAATGGTGTATTTTAAGCACATGAATCCCCAGTCCTGTGCATTCCTCTTAGCTTCTCAAACCTTTACTGGCCCTTCTTGACCACGCTCTGACTTCTATGACCTGTGTTGGCCACACTCTGACCTTGACTGACCTCTACTGACTCGTCACCCTCTGCCGGCAGGTCTGTTCATCATTGACGGCAAGAGCACACTGCGTCAGCTGATCATTAATGACCTGCCGGTGGGCCGGTCGGTGGACGAGGTACTCCGGCTGGTGCAGGCGTACCAGTTCACGGACGAGCACGGAGAGGGTGAGTGACGGCCGGGTGGGGGTCCGATACTGCTCCCCGGGTGCAGCGGACGCTCGGTACAGACGCGCGACACGGCAGCGGTATCGACGTAGGGCCACCGTTTTCCTGTAATTGCTGTGTGTGATCGTTGACTGTGATGTTGCAGTATGTAATGATCGTTTGTCTTGTGGTAGTGTGCCCGGCCGGCTGGCGGCCCGGCTCCAGCACCATGAAGCCCGACCCAGTGAAGAGCAAGGAGTACTTCTCCTCGGCCAACAAGTGAGCGGCGCAACTCAGGCGGCATCTGCCAGACACAGAAGAACCGGTGGTTGTGCCGTCTGCCACTAGATGGCAGGGCCACCGCGGCGGGGAACCACCGAGTCCTTTCCATTATCTATAGCCAGCTCCGTTTTGTTTTTTTAGTGATACTCTGTTACCTGGTCATCATGTCATGAATAAATGAACGTTTTGGAACGGTGTAA